AAAATTTTATTTAAAGAAAGACTAAACATAACAGAAAATAGGTAAAAATAATACATACATCCAGAGAAAAAAATAAACAGTAAGAAATCACTAGTTGATGTTTACATATTGTCATTTTACAAATAGTTGTTCAAGATACAAAAATGGAACATGTAAAGTGGGAATTCAAACAGCGAGACTGCAAACAGTTCTGTTCAACTGCCTACTTAGTAACATGGTTGTAAATCCTATACACTTAAACATACATGCAGTTACCCATATCTTCATTTATGTTTAGACTAAACAAATTAAAGCAGGTTAAAATCATTCTGAACAAAGAATAATAGTATTCCTGGATTTCATATCATGACACTCCATGATCAGCACTGGGTACTGTAGTGTCTTATTTTTTAAAATTTAATTTAAAGAAAGACTAAACAAAAAAGAAAACAGGTAGAAATAATACATAATTTCAAAAAAATAAACAGAAATCACTAGTTGATGATTACAGATTGTCTTCTTACAAATAGTTATTCAAGATACTAAAGTGGAGCATATAAAGTGATTCAAACAGTGAGATTGCAACCAGTTCTGTTCAACTATCCAACAAAAACTTAGAAATATGGTTATCAATCCTATACACTTAAACATACATGCAGTTATCTATATCTTCAATTATGTTGAGATTGAATAAACCCAAGCAGGCTAATATCACTCTGAACAAAGAGTAATACTATTGTTGGGTTTTACATTATGACACTCCAGGATCAGCACTGGGTATTTTAGTGTCTCTTTTTCTTGTATCTGTTCATTTCATCATGTGTCATAAAATCATTTCTCACAAACTGTTTATAGATTCTGCACATGCGTGAGTCTTAATGTATTTCTATCCTTTCTATATTAGGAAAAACAAAACAAAGCAAGACAAAATGTATTCCTATAAACACAGGAAATGAAAAAAACATGTAAGACCATTGTATAAAGAGTTCTACCATGATTCCTGTGTTGTCTCTTGTTATCTCCAATAGAATTGGCTATATCATCAGACATAGTATAATTGAATATATCAGTACATAACAGTATTAATAAAAACACAACTTTGTATATAGTTAAGAATTTCAAAAACCAGCAGTTATCAAACCAGAATGTGTATTGTAGAGTCTTGTCATCTTCAGTGTAGTTGCCTATACTGTCAGACTTGATACTATCAATCATATCAGTTTTGAATAAAATCTTCTCTGCCTCATTTCTGTTATGCTCTTTTTTGCCATCAGTTGTCTGCTTATCTTCTTCATTCTGTTTTCTGCTCCATTCATTGAGGCCTCTCTGCCACTGTTCTTGGAATCATATTACTTTTCTCTCTCTCTAGAATGCCCTGCAGTATTCTCTGTAGAGCTGAATTGGTGGTTGCGAATTTCCCAAGTTCCTCTTTGTCTTGGAAGCATCTTGTTTCTCCATTAATTTCTCCATTAGCAGGGTATATCAATCTGGGATGGAGATTATTTGCTTTCAGGGCTTGGAATATTTCGCTCCAAGCGTGTCGAGAAGTCTGCCATGATTCTGATGGGCCTTCCTTTATAGGTTATCTGTTTCTTGTCTCTGACAGCTTTTAATATTCTGTTCTTATATTGAATTTCTAGGATCTTGATCATTATATGCCTGGGTGTAACTCTGTTTTGGTTGTAGGTGGCTGAAGTTCTGTATGCCGCATATATCAGAATATCATTTCCATTTCCTATGTTTGGAAGTTTTCCTTAATTATTTCTGTGAATAAACTTTGTAGTTCCTTTGTTTGTACCCCTGCTGCTTCATTCACATTCTTTATTCTCAAGTTGTAGATCCTCTTGTTGTCTTCTAGCCTTTGTATTGTTACTGCTTGTTTCCTTGTTATTTTTAAAAAGCTTTCTGTTTCATAATCCCACATTGCAAAACTGTCCTCCAGTTTGGATCATCTATCCTTAGTTTCTTTCAAGCTGATTTGCCATCTTTCCATAGAGTTTTTAATTTCCTGGTAATCTCTTTGAGTCTGCTTCATGTATTCTATATTTTTTTATATTCTTCATCAAATGGTTCTCTCCTTTGTTTGAGTTCCTCCCTTCTTCCATCTGTGTCTGCTTGAGGGGTGCTTAGTATCTCTTTTATTAATCATCTTATATCTTGCTTTATTTGGCTAAATATTTCACTTTTGAACTCATCTATGAGGCCCCGAATATATCTCTTTATGTCCACTGGCACCATGTTTGATATTGCATGTTTGCTGTTCTCATTCTCCTTTGTGTTTGCCTATTCTCGGTCAATGTTCTCAGGGTTGGGACCTGGGGACTTTTGTTGTTGCTTCCTCTTCCCATCTTTTTTGTTTCTTCCAGGAGGCCCCAATTTCTTTATTTGTTGGTTACAGTTCTTCTGAAGCGTGTTGGCTATATGCCCCTTCCCACTGCCATGTGCTAGTGAGTTGCAGACAGGGACAGCGTATACTGGCCCTTCTCTTCCGGATCAGTCAAGTTGCTGCAGCCTGCACTGTATTACTTTGCACCGCCTCCCCTCTGGGTCAGTCAAGCTCTTGTGGCCTGCACTGTTATTACTTTGTGCCGCCTCCCCTCCAGTTTAGTCAAACTTCTGAGGCTTCCCTGGGTTAGTGTGGTTAGTGTGCGCCACCACTGTAGGGACTTGGTTTCAGATAACCTATTGGGTCTCAGCCAGGTTACATGACTCAGGCCTAGCTCACTCCACCAATCCTGTTTGGGAAGGGAACAACTGACTGAAGTCACTGCTGCCCCTTGTACTTGCCAGTCCTGCCTAGCCCCAGAATGTCGTCCACCAGACCCCGCTTTCTGTGGAATGGCTCCACTCCCGTCACTCACCACAGGTTGATGCAGGCACCCCACCAACTCAGCTGTCTGTTTGGCTTGCTGACCCCCGAACTCAATGTAACTGCGCCTCCAGTGAGTCAAAGCAGTGGGACCTCAGATGGTTTGGCAAGTTGCAGCAGGACCTTGGGTGGTGGGCAAGTCGCCCGCTGTGGCGGGAACACTGAACATTTAGTTGGTCCAATATAACACCGGGACTGTATGTTTGGTTGGTTCCTCCCACCTTAATTTCTTCTTGGGACAAGAGAATTCATCTCCCTCTTTTTGGGCTCCTTACTCTGTTTTATGTTGAATTCTAAGTTAAGTATCTCAGGGAGCCTCTGTAGCCAGTTGTTATCTATCCGCCATCTTTGTTCCTCCTCTCAACATCTATAATTTTTGTGGGGAGGGTACCAGGAATTGAATTCATAACCTCATACTTGCTAGGCAGGTGCTACATCGCTGAGCTAAATCCCCAGTCCTAAACATTTATAATTTTTATGGTTCTTCTCATTTTAAGTTCTTTGGAGTCTTCCCTTTTCTCTTAAAATAAAATCTAAATTCTCAGCGTGGCCTACAAGGCCACCAAGACCTGGTCTATCCTACCTCTGGTGCATTTCACTCTCCTCTCAGCCTCACTCACTACACTCCTGTCCTACTTGTTTCTTCCTCCTTCCTCTTCAGAGTCTTAGTACAGATTGTTCCCTCTACTTGGAAGAATTCTCCCTTAGCCACTCCTGCTGGCAAATTCTGCTACTTTGGAATTCAGCTCAAATGTCTCGGTTAGAATTCTCTTTCTTAACATTTGCCCTCAAACCTTCAGCTTGTACATTTTTGAGCTCCCATCATTTTCTATAGGTTTTTGGTTCTACCAGGTAGTCAGTACCATTTAGCTTTGGTGCAGTACAGAAAGCTATGCTAGCTTTTTGAGGTCCTAAGTCACTGAGGCTGGCCCTTCACCACACACAGTAATTTTTGCCACATAGGGCATAGAGCACTATGGGGTGAGGATGAGCTTGTTTCTAGGTACTAAGTGCAGTACTATAAAGGAAGAGACTGTTTACATTGTTCACTAACTGCCCCACATGCAGTACTGGTCTCAGAGTTAAACAAACCTGTTCGTTTAAATTCTGGCCTTGGTACCTCTGAGTTGCGGGATTTTGTATGAGTTACTTTAACCTTCCTGATCTGTATTTTCCTTACTATAAAAACAAAAATAAGAATAGTACCTATCAGGCTGGAGATTTAGCTCAGCGGCATAAACACCTGCCTTGCAAGCAGTCAGTCATGAGTTCAATCCCTGGTACCGATAAAAAGGAAAAAGACAAAAAAGACAAAAAAGAATAGTACCTATCTCAGGGTTGCTTTTGGAGTGAAGTAGAAGTAAAGATCAAAACTAATCAAAAGATCAAACTCTGATCTTTCCTTAGATGATTATGAAAAAATAAAGCCTGTTCATGTACATGTGTATTACAAAATATTTTTTACAAACTGTGATTATCTCATGATGGTCATGGAATGTGACTTGTAACTTTCAACTACAGGGCCTATAACTGACTAAGGGCTCTGAAATCCATCATCAAATTTGTAATAAAGCCATCCCTCCTACTGTGTTTGGGAGAAATACTAAGGCAGACCCACTTCCTGGGAGATGCAGGACTCTTCTTATTGTTGACTTTGGTTGAGGACTGCCCAGTGGTTTTTGGCAAACCCTCCTCAAACCACAAAGCAGAGTAGGATTTTGTTTGTTTGGTACCTGGGTTTGAACTCATGACCTCACACTTGCCAGGCAAGCATTTGTACCACTGAGCTAAATCCTCAGCCTACAGAATAGGATGTTTTTGTTCAACATTTCTCCCTCTCTGTTACACTCAGGATCAGAGTTGCATAGCAAGTTTGTTGACTGTCTCCACCTTTTCCTACTCTGCCTAATTTCTCTTACACAGCTGTCCATAATGAAGTTCTTTCATGATTAATCCTATCTTGGAGTCTTTTAGTACTCAGGCTAACACACCCTCCCTTTGAAAAAGAGCACTTAAACTTAATGAATACATGCTTTTTAAAATGTTGGCATTCATGATAAGTCAGATGGTATCTGAGTTTTATTTTGGAGAGGAACACCAGAGGAGGTCTGACATTCAGTCCCTGACTATTCCTGCTCTTTCTCTTCTACAGATGTTGCTGCCAATAAATTTACTGATTGTTAATCTCTGTCTTGATGTGTGCTTCCTGGGGGACCTGAACTGACACAGCCATCCAAAAAGGGGAAATTGTGGATCCGGAATGTGCTTTGCCTAGAACTGGGAAGAGAAGCAGCAGTTAAGGTGGATGAGAAGATGTCTACAGATGAGTTATCAGTGCTACTTCCTTCTTTGTCCATTTTATCTCTAAAACATGAATTTTAATTTACTTTAACATTAGTATATGCAAACTTGAAAAATGAAATAAGCTAAAATTAAAGCATCTAATTGAGCAAGGCCATTAGTAATATAAAAAATGACTATGTAGTCTAGTAAATTAGTTTTTGTGACTTTATGCTTCATTGGGTAGAGAGCACAATCAAAGCTATGGAAAATTTGGCATGTTGTGTCTTGGATTTTCACTCTGTTTTATTAGGCTCAGGCAATAAGGTTTAGGGAAATGACTCTCATAACCAGCTGCCAAATGAGTTTCATTGTTGTGCTTTATTGCCAACATCCCAAATCATCCCTAAATTCCAGAAGGGATGAAAAAAAGGTGATAAAAGGCAAAATACTGCACAGCAAGGTAGGAATCCTCTTGTTCCTGCAGGATTGTCAGGTCAGGCAGACCCTGGTGCAGACAACCAGTGCACTGACAGAAAGCAGTTTTATTGATTAAACCATCCAATACAGAGACATTTCTGTGTTGTGTTTATTGAGTTCTTTGCTCTATGACCATGGTTAGTTAGATTATGGAGGTGGAGTCCCACCTCCATAATCCATTGTAAGGTCTAATCAGATAAAACTGACATTGCAACGTTTATTCATTACCTGGTAGTCATTTGTTCCACAAAGCATATGCAAGATATAAATTTTCAGCCAGATGTGGTGGCGCATGCTTGTAATCCCAGTGCTTGGGGGCTGAAGCAGGAGGACTGCTGAGTTTGAAGCCAGCTTAGGCTACATAATGAGTTTCAAGGCCAGCCTGGACTACATAGTGAAACCCTGTCTAAAAAAAAAGAAAAAAATTTTTCTCATGCTCATTTTTTTTAAAGGAAAAAGTCCTATTTTCACAAGATTTTTGTCGTTTTTGTTGTTGTTATCTACAGAAAGGAACTTTATTCCTTGGCTTATGTTTTGTTAAATTTAAGATATAAAAAATCTGATCTATAGTGTTCAATCTGGAGAAACAGGAGCCTGGCATTTAAAGACCAACCCACACCTTATCCCATATCCCACAGTGACATAGTCTTATTATACTTTGACATAGTCTCATACTTTTTTTTTAAATATGGGGGATTGAACTCAGGACCTGGTGCTTGCCAGGCATGTGCTGTGCCACTGAGCTGTATCTACAGCCCCTCATTATACTTTATTGGAAGAATGAAGTTGCAAAATTTAGAGTTGTGTTTGGGTCTGATTTCCAAACCCATGTTCCTTTTCACCAGTACCTGGCCTTGATGTTGTTACAACCACAACTTTCTCAGTCCCATGCACACTTGAGAGGCACAGGTGCTAATAAGGAAAACAGAAAACTGTTAAGTTTTGTGCAAAGCTGGAGCATGAGCCCTTTGTTAATGCTAAATAATAGAAATGATCCACCAGTGGCAATGTGCTTAGAATTTTTTTTTTTTGTCTTTTTCCTTTTTATCAGTACCAGGGATCGAACTCATGACTGCCTGCTTGCAAGGCAGGCGCTTATGCTGCTGAGCTAAATCGCCAGCCCCAATGTGCTTAGAATTTATAGAATCATGCAGAATCTCAGACAATGGGGAAGACTATTAAGTCATCAAGTCCAGGGGTTTTGCAACCATGTCATATGTCAGGTACTAGAGCTCCTGGAAGTCATGGCACTTTTTGCAAGACATCAAATTTTTATTTTTATTTATTTATTTTTTTGGTACTGGAAATTGAACTCAGGACCTTGCACTTGCCTAGCAGGCTCTGTGCCATTGAGCTATATCCCCTGCCCAACATCACAGATTTCTGATAGCTAGTATCAGTATATAAATTAACGATAATTTGCCTAACAGGTACAGTGTGGTGTAATGGGAAAAAGGAGGTAATGAAGTTTCACAGATCTGACTTTTCCACTCACTAAATTGTGACCTTGATAAATTAGTTTTTTCTATGCCTCTGAGCTATCATATGGAAAAGAGAAAAATCCCTGTTGCAGGGGTGTGAAGGATTTCTTTGATAAATATGTGTATATAATATGTAATATTTGCCCCTTAATAAATGATAGTAACAGATCCACGGTTCCTTACACAAAATGCTTGGAGTCCTGTTTGTTTTAGAATGAGAATTTTGTTTTTAGTTTTAAAAATACAACATGGATATATAAATATAAATAATTTATAATATAAATAATATAAATAATACCCCTCACTGAGTCTGAGGCAGTACCCCAAAATTTAACACTTTGTTTTGTAGAGTTCGCATCAAATGTATTAAAAATACTTCAAACCATTTTGAAATGAATTAGGACTTTGGGCTTCTGGATAAGGGGTTATAAATATGCATTATTACTTGAAGATAATATAATTACCATGATTTAGGTTTCCATAGGTTAAGATTTTTTTTTTTATCAGTACCAGGGATCAAACTCATGACTGTGCACTTGCAAAGCAGGCGCTTACGCCGCTGAGCTAAATCCCCAGCCCTCAAGTTTTTTTTTTTTTGAGGTACAGTGATCAAACTCAGGTACTTGTGCTCTACCATTAAGCTACGTCCCCAGGCCTCTGTTTTTGTTTTTCATGAAGGATGCTGTTGGGGCCTTCTTTTTGTTTAATTTTTATTTATTTATTTTATTGGTATTGGGGATCAAACTCACAACCATGCACTTGCAAGGCAGGCACGTATGCTACTGAGCTAAATCCCTGACCCTGTTGGGGCCTTCTGAATGTTTTTTACCAGTTAATACAGTCATCCTGCTGCTGCTGCCAGTGTTGGCTAGTAAAAGCACGTGGCTGTCCCATGGAGTCTTGCCTTTAACCAGACAGGATCTGTCTCTCTTGAGGGATAAAGAAGTCAGTAGCTACCTGACAAAGTCTCTTGTCTCAAGGGACTAATTTTGGGGTGCCATTCTATTCTTGTTTCAGAGTTTTACTGTGGGTTAGACTGAAACTGGTTTTGGAATCCATGCTTTCTTAGTTTTCTCCACATGTCAGATTGGTTCCAAAGGGTTTTTTTTTTTTTTTTAAGACAGATTTTCACTAAACAGCTCAGACTGACCTTAACTCATCTCATTATGTAGCACAGGCTGGCCTCAAACTTTTGGCAATCTTCCTGCCTCAGCCTCTTGTCTACTAGAGTTATAGGCATGTACCCCCATAACCAACACTCCTATTTTTCTTAAGAGTAAATTGTTCAGTAAATCACTTAAACCAGAACCCGTATTTCTGTCTCTACTTCTAGAAAATCCAACCTAAGACATTTAGTACTAAGAGTAGTCCTAGAAAGCAGACCCTAAGGAACAAATTCTGGAGTTGGATCATTCAAGGGCTAGACAGCAATCTGGTGGGTGAAGTGCGAGAATTCTTGTCATATTAGACATATTGCAAATTTTTTTTACTTGTAGTGGGCTGGGGTGGCTTGCAAATGGAAAGAAAGGAATGCTCAGTCTACCTGGTGCAATGTCTTAGGCATTTGAGAAATATATGGTGAATAACAACTATAGCAATTGTGAAATTGGGTTATTATTAAAGTGTTCAACATGATGAAAGAAAAAACAATGGAGTTCAGGCTAGTAAATAATAATTTAAAGTAAGTGATACCTCATTGGTAGCTTTTCTTTTTGTTTTGGTATTGGGGATTGAACTCACACTTGCCAGGGAAGTGCTTACGCCACTGAGCTAAATCCCTGCCCCTTATTGGTAGCATTTAAAGAGATTCTTACCTCACTGAGTCAGTAAACAGACAACTAATTACTAGACAGAATTCAAAAGTTGGGAGATTTTGGAAAAGGCTCATTTTCTTTTTCTTTTCCTTTTTTTTTTCCTTTTGCTACTGGGGATCAAACTCACAACCTCGAGGCACTAACATCACTGAGCTAAATCCCCAGCCCTAAAAAAGGCTGAATTCTTAGCCTGTGAGGAGGCATGACTCTTCAAAAAGTTGGTTCCTAATAGGGAAGAAGCAGGATCCTGAGATTTAAGTTAAGGATACTGCATGTAGATCCATTTGAGGAACTTGGATCCCAAAATTTCTCTGACCCATCTCGCCTTATAGAAGTAACTCACTGTCTCAAGTGAGAAGATGAATGCCCATTCCCTCCCCTCTGTTTGTCTTTTTTTTTTTTTTCTATCAGTACCGGGGATCGAAATCGAGACTGCCTGCTTGCAAGGCAGGCGCTTATGCCGCTGAGCTAAATCCCCAGCCCCTCCCCTCTGTTTATAAACATATAATTGCAATGGCATACATAGAAACTGGCAGGACCCTGACATTAGTTGATAGACACGTAGACTAAAAGCTACTGTAGTAGTAAGCAAGACCAAGTGGAAGCCCTGGAAAGTACTCTCACAATGGCCAAGATAATAATGAAAAAAACCTATCACATTCTAGAATTACAAAATTTAGTTCTTCCCTCAAAACTTCCAAGAATGCAGAAATGATGATTCCTATCATATTCCCATACAATTTACCAGTTTGGTCTTTGGAAAAACTGATAGATATGGCAAAAGACAAATAACTCTAACCATATCTGTTCTGCCAAGCATGAGAGAAACACAGCTCAGGAACATCTTATACAGCCAGTGAGATGGCAAATGTGTTCTTTCCCACATTGATCTGCATGAGACACTCACAGAGCAGGCCAAAGCCTGCATTTGTGATCTCAGCGTAAGGTTAATGTTCACATGTTCTCTAACATATAGTCCAAAGGGATCTGAACTGTTTGGCCATTTGCAGAACATCACATTGGTCCAGAACATCAATGCTATAAAATTTATTAAACCTAATAAGAAGTTAATGGCAAGTACTCTAAATCTTTGGTAGGACACATGGAACTCAGAGTATGGGACAGAAATTAAAAAAAATTAGAAGCCTGCCACATCAGTGAAATGGCCCTAAGGGTTTGATGATCTGAAGCATTCCAGGATATTCCCTTGGAAGTAAAGAACATTTACTATTCCTCTTTGGGTTTTAAAGCTCATAGATTTTGCACTTGAGAACACTGTTGTGATCTATTGGACAGTGGACTGGTAGTTTGGGGCCCAAAGTAAAAATGATGCTGAGGGGCTGGGGATGTAGCTCAGCGGCATAAGTACCTGCCATGCAAGCAGCAAGTTGTGAGTTTGATCCCCGGTACTGATAAAAAAGAAAAAGACAAAAAAAAATTTTTAAAAAAAAATGATGCTGAAAGATCAAGGCTGAGGTCTGAGTAACCCTACTGCTTGGGCTATATGACTTGACAGCTTTTATAACGCTTGAGGTATCTGGGGTAGAAAGTGACACTACAAAAATTCTGGCCACCATCTGGTTTATTTATTTATTTATTTTTTATTTTTTTATTTTTGGCTTTTTCATTTTTATCGGTACCAGGGATCGAACTCACGACTGCCTGCTTTCAAGGCAGGCGCTTATGCCGCTGAGCTAAATCCCCAGCCCCTACCATCTGGTTTAAATATTCAGTCATTCAGCAGGCATGGTAGTGCATGCCTGAAATCCTTGCACTCAGGAGGCTGAGGCAGGAGGATTGCCATGAGTTCGAGGTCAGTATGGATGACACAGAGACTTCAGGGCCAGCCTGAACTACAAAAAACCAAATCAAACCAAAACCAGAACCAAACAAAAACAAAAACAATAGGGCTGGAGATTTAGCTCAGTGGCCTAAACACCTGCCTGGCAAGCACGAGGTCATGAGTTCAATCCCTGGTAACAAAACAAAAACAAAATCTTCAAATAAATATTTTGTCATTTCTGAATTGATTCAAAATTTACCAAATATGTATTTATCAAACACCAGATATTGCAGACAAAATGTAATAGATATTGTAGACAAAATTAATAAAACCTATTCCATTCCCAAGAAGCTCATTCTAATTTTACTCTATCTGTATGCTATTTAATTCACCTATTTATTTCCTCTCCTGACATTTATAAGGGTGCAGGTGGTAAGCAGCAGCCAAAATGGGAGAAAAATTTGAGAATAAGTTTATTAACTAAAATATATTGCAAATTGGTCCAGACCATTATCTATCATTTGAAAGGTATTTTATTTTGGTACCAGGAATCGAACTCAGGATACTGCACTTGCCAGGCAGGTGCTGTGCCAATGAACTATATCCCTGCCCCATTATCTATGATTTGAATAGGTTACATTGATCATGTTTTAGTACTAAAAATTATACTGCCTACTAGGTATCATATATTTCATATACATTTATTTTCTCCCAATAATTCTGCAAGTATTAATATCTATCATGTTCCATAAGTTTTTACTAAGGTTTGGGAAGTTAAGTCACGTAAGTAGTAGTAAAGATCTGCCCAGTGTGCAGCAGCTGCAGGCAGCAACCTCCTCCTAGTGTACACAGCCTGTTGCTTATAGGGGCTGCCTCAAAGGACCTTGCAGACACTGCTTCTGATGGATGTTCGCATATCTGACCACCTGCTACCCCCAATCCAGGCTCCAGACTGGCATGCAGGATGCCTTGGAGAAGCCCCAGGGCACAGTGGCAAGGGATCGCAGTGGACAGGTCATCATGTCTATCTGTACCAAGCTGCAGAACAAAGAGCATGTGATCAATGCCCTGTGCAGGGCCAAGTTCAAGTTTCCTGGGCGCCAGAAGATCTGTATCTCCAAGAAGTGGGGCTTCACAAAGTTCAATGTAGATGAATTTGAAGACATGGAGGCTGAGAAGTGCCTCATTCCTGATGGCTACGGGGTGAAATACACCCCGAATCCGTGGTTCCCTGGACAAGTGGTGGGCCTTGCACTCCTGAAGGCTTCCACTGCTCCCCCCGCAATAGCAAGCTGATCTATAAATCTTCTCTGCCTTACTTTTAAAAAAAATCAAACAGAATAGAACCAATAAAAACAAAACAATTAATGCAATAAAGGACTTCAAAACAAGATAAGAATAAATCCAAAATGGCTACCATAATGTATCTTATCTTTGGAATAGCTGCCCACATCATTGGATATAGTAAAATCAAACACAGCAAAGCAGAATAAAACCCAACCCAACAAAACAATGAAAATGATACAGTACTTCAAAACAAAATCATAGGGAATTAACAGTGGCTACCACCTTCAGAAGTAGATTCCCCACAGACGCTATACTGCATATTGTTATCCTCTGAAAAGATGATCAGACCAGCTTTAGACCTGCAAAGTCAGTGAAACATCTAATACTATAAGCATTACACTTTTTTTTTTTTTTTAACCTCAGTAGCAATCACTGAAGCCGTGTTTCTTCCAGATCAGCCAGTCACTTGTGGGGGGCAGGGGTGGGGAGGTGTTTGGTTCTTGTTTCCCAGCCTGCATACCAGAAGGGGCTGGCATCTGGCTTTCTCCCCAGCAGCCCATGCATGATGCTGATTTGCAGGGAGGGCCTGCTTCTTGGTGACTCCTTGTTCTCTTTCCCCCTTGACCCTTCCTTATAAAAGATGAATAATGCTGCTGCTATGAACACTGCTGTACAAACACTTGCTCAAGTCCCTGTTTTCCATTCTTTTGGCTAAATATCCTCACCAATACATCCATAATGATTTTTGTTTGTAGTTCCCTAATGGTGATTGATATGGAATGTCTTTCCATGTGCTTCCTGGCTGTTAGCTATTTGTCTTTTTTGAATAAATTTCTATTCAAGTCCTCAGCTCATTTTAAAATCAGGTTTTATTAGCTTGTAGCTCCACATTCTGAACATTCATAACTTACTGGATATTTGAAAATATTTTTCCCATTCTGTGGAATTTTCTTGATACTTTAGTATATACATTTAAAATTTTGATGTACTAAAACTCATCTTTTTGGTATTGCCTACACTTTTGGTGTCACATCCAAGCAATCATTCTCAAGTTCAAGTCATGAAGCTTCCTCACTTTCTTCTAAGACTTTTGTAGTTTCGGCTCTTACATTTAGCCTTTTGATCTATTTTGAGTTAAACTGTATCTTGTATAACACTCTTGCATGTTGATTCCCAGTTTGCCCATGACCATTTGCTGAAGACTATCCCACTGAATGATCATGGCTCCCTCATGCAGAATGTTTGAATTTGTGTATGAGGTTTTTATTTCTGGATGTTATTCTGTTGATTTATATGTCTTTACGCCAGTATCAGTTTTGGTTACTGTTGTTTGTAGGGAGTAAATATGCTTTGAAATTAGAAATGTAAGTCCTCTACCTTTATTCAACTATTTTGGCTATTCTGGTTCTCTAAGGATTCCTTGTGAAGTGGATGGGTTTTTCTACTTTTAGAAAAAGTAATTTAGACTTTGATAGGGATTATACTGAATCTGTAGATGACCTTCAGTAGTACTGATATACTATTAAATCTTCCAATCCATGAACATAAGATTTCTCTTTGTCTTCTTTTTTTTTTCTTTTTCCTTTTTTATCGGTACCGGGGATCGAACTCACGACTGCCTGCTTGCAAGGCAGGCGCTTATACGCGCTGAGCTAAATCCCCAGCCCCTCTTTGTCTTGTTTTCTTTTCTTTTTTTTTTTAAATTGGTACCAGGTATGGAACCCAGGACCACCTGCTTGCAAGGCAGGTGGTTATGCCGCTGAGCTAAATCCCCAGCTCCTTTGTCTTATTTCTATCAGCAATGTCTTAACTGTAGTCTTGCTCCCTTGTTGAACTTATTTTAAGTATATATATATAAATGTTACTATAAATTAAATTTTCCTTAACTTCCACTCTGGTTTGTTAGTGTATAAGTACACCTGATTTTTGTGTATTGTTGTAATCCTGTAATATTTTCTTTTGTGTGATGCTGGGGATTGAATTCAGAGCCTCACAGGCTAGACAAGCATTCTACCATTCAACTAAATCCTCAAATCTTTTTAAAGTTCTATTTTAAGACAGGGCCTCACTAAGTTGCTGAGGCCAGCCTTGAAACTGAAATTGCAAACCTTTTGCTTCAGGGTTGAGTTGCTAGGATTACAGGCATACACCACCATGCTCAATTCTAACAGTTTTTGGGTGAAGTAGTTTGATTTTTTAAACACAGAAAGTATGGCTGCAGGATAAATTGATTACTACCTTGGTGTGGTTTATTCAATTCTGACAAGGTATGCCTAAAAGGCAGCAAACTTTTAAGAATGAAACATGTGAAGGACATCAAAATACGTACACCAGGGATTTTTAATCCAAATATCATCATCAAAGATCCTGTCTAATGAGATGGCATAGTTGGCATCCATGAGGTACTGGATCCAATGCTCAACAATGAGGTAAAATTCTGTCTGAGGCATACAAAATACACATTTAAAACAAACAAAAAAAATTTTTTTTTGACACAAGGTCTCACTATGTAGCTCACATTGGTCTTAAACTCTTGTGATCCTCCTGCCTCAACCTGACTGCTAGTATTATAAGAGTGTGCCACATCTGGCTAAACTATTCAAATATTATCTTTTTTTTTTTTTGTACAGGGATCAAACTCGACCTTGTGCTTGCCAGGCAGGTGCTTATGCCACTGAGCCAAATTCCTGGCCCTCAATTATCATCTTTGAAAAAGAATGTGGTATAAAATGGAGTAATGTTTGGACCACAGAATTTTTTTTTTTTTTGTCTTTTTCATTTTTATCGGTACCGGGGATCGAACTCACGACCACCTGCTTGCAAGGCAGGTGCTTATGCCGCTGAGCTAAATCCCCAGCCCTGGACTACAGAATTTGATACTTGTAGCTTAGAATCCTGTTTCTCATACAGGTTAGTTTGACCTTCAAAATTTCCGTAAGACATTTTTGCTCCTCTTTAAAACTGGGATAAGTAGGGTGAGGTGCTGCATGCTTATAATCCTAGCATTCAGGGAGAGGCAAGGGGATCACCATGAGTTCAAGGTCAGCTTCAGCTACATAGTGAGTTCAAGGTCAGCCTGAGCTGCATAGTGAAACCCTATCTCAAAAAAAAGTAAATAAAATAAACAAAATTGGGATAACAGTATCTGCCCCATTGGACTGAGAAATGAGATAATTTTTGTGTGTTTGTTTTGAGATAGTCTTCCTATGCAGTCCAGACTGGTATTGAACTTGGTATGTAAGCTCAGGCTAGCAGTGGAACTCAAGATCCTCCTTAGCCTCCTGGGTACAGGGATTATAGGAGTGCACCACAAGAGCAGTTATGAGATAATGAGATAATTAAGGTGCTCATGACCTAGATAGGAAAGCATAAAGAAAATAATTCTAACACTGTCCTATAGGAACAGAATGGTACACTGCAAATCAATACAAGATATGCTCAGATATGAAATTTACTATTTTGTCCTCTATTTAGGGGATAAGAGTGAGTGAATCACAAACAAGACTAATAAGGATTATAATAATCTAGGAAAATTTTAGATGTCATTATAATATAGGGTGGGCTGAGGATGGCATCCTTCAGGAAATAACTTTCTGTTATGGCTTAGGAGAAAACACTTTCATCTCTACCTTAATCATTTCTGAGATTCCAAGGAACCTTGAATTTTAGGCACCAGCTTACAGAGGAAACCAAGGCTCAGAGAATAAGGTCACTGTTGCCCTATTAGTAAGGTCATTAGTCACTCTGTGATCCACAACAATGGTACCCTCTGAACACAACAAATATGAATGATTGCTCTTGGAATCACACATTACAGCAGTGCTGATGAAGAGGTTATGGTAGGTACAGGAGTTGATCTTTACCTCAAAACTTGTAGTTTTCTTACTGTTGAACTAATGCCTTACTTATGGGTATGTAACGCATTTAGGAATAAACATTAAATTAAAACAACAAAAACACATCTCAGAGAAGGGTTCTTCATAAGAACTTGGTAAATTTTTAAAAATTAATTTAATGGAATCCTATATGCACTGGTTACTTAACAACAAATTAACATAATTCATGTATTCTTAAACCATTGCTTAACAGGAAAAAAATAAATGTAGGAGCCAAACCATTTATTTTGTGCTTCTCTAAAACAGATAAGTAACATTTACAAAAAAATTAAAGATTAACCATAAAAATTAAGACCATGAATTAATTTCCTACTGACATTTCTTGAACTATCCCCAAAATTTAAGGTCAGCTTCCTTTGAAAATGCTGCGGTAGTTGTTAAGTTGGCAAAAAACAAAAAAACTAAAGATCTAACCTTAGTAAAACACACAGGAATATTTCTTCAGGTTGAAGATTCCAATATGCTTTGTCCAGCAAAGGGGGAGGTAAGAAAAATATAAAACAAAAAATACTGGCTCATTGTATATATAAAAGGCTATAGCCATTAAGAGTTGCTGTCAACAGGATAAAAGGGAATACTGATATTCTCTGGATGAGTACCTAGAATGTGATCAAAATGAAAAAAGAGAAGCAGGGAGGCTTGTGTAAAATAAAGACATCTGAGATACATGATAAAATCTCTACCAAGGGAATTTTTAAAATGAGATTCACAGAACTGCAACAGCAGAAGACAGCTGCGATTTAGAAGTCTCCCATGTAACTGATGAATTTCACAACACTTTAGTGCCATCAAGTCCAGACCAGAACACAAGTCTCCTGAGCTCTGGATACACTGTTCTCTATACTAACTGTCTTTTACATCACCCTAACCATTTGAAGTGATCCCCTAATTCTCTCTGCTCCACAGTGTGCCCCTTCAGGGTACTGAGAGGAACAGAATTCTGAACAATGTTTAGACTATACACAACTACTGACCTAAAAATGAATGAGACATTATTTCAGCACTAACGTATTTGGGCATGGGAAACTGGAGAAATACAAAATTAGAACATCTGTGACAACAGTAAAAGAAGCACATAGAAAATACATTCCTCTTTTGTACTGTTACTTTGTTACTGTTATTTTAAGTCCATATATTATTTAAAACACAACAGAGAAATCAGATTTATAAAATAAACTGAAGTGTTTAGATTTTAAAAAAAATAAGAGATTTGCCTTCTTGTCTACCAATCTCTCAATAAACTGCTGGGATTTTCATTTAGTTTTGAGATAGGATCTCATTATATAGGCTGTCCTTAAACTATGTAGCCCAGGCTTACCTCAAACTCACCTGGATCCTCCTGCCTCAGCCTCTCAAATGCTGGGGTTATAGTTATCTGCCACCACACTCAGCTAAATTGTTGCTCTTGTACTTTAGATCTCAAATAAAGATACCTAGTATGAAACAAAAAATTGATATACTGCAAGGTTACCTATAGATTGGTGACTGGCTAGGAAATGACAGATTTTCTAAATCTTATCCTAAAATACTGTTTATTAATGGTGATATGCATAATCCAAGCTTTTATCAAACAGCAAGAGAAACTTGAGTGAATGAATACATTTACCTCCAAGTTCTCTGACAGGAAGTGAGAAAAAAAAAAATACTGTATTTTACCAGTGCTCCTCACAAAGCATTATTCTAAGAATGTGCGAGATTGTCGTGAGTAGCTATAGTAAAATCCAACCCAGAGGTAGGTTCAAGGCCAAGAGTAGGACAGTGGTTGAAGCAATCCTTTAGGGCCAATTATCATTTCACAGAAAGCCCATTTGTGCTGGGAAACGATCCTATGGCCTATTTTCTTCTCAATTAAAAGGATATCCCACCTTCAACCTTACTGAAAAACAGGCAGTGTTGCACCTGCTATTGAGAACAGCCAGGATACAGGGTAGAGCTTACACAAAATTATTAGGAAGCACATGCCAGCTATCCCAGTTTGAAATCTACCAAACTGTAAAAGCAAGCAAAAATAAAAAGCTGAAGATAAACTGTTGTTCCTCCGATAAGGGAACAAAATCTTACAATAAAGACACATTAAGCACTCACTTAACTCTAATGGAGAACATCCTTCTCAGGCTACATGAAAGATAAGAAAGGAATAGCTTTACCAAAAGCTGATCAGGCCCCTTAACGACCAAAAAGAGAGGGAAAGAAAGCATTTAGGAAGGAAGATAGTGGGGCTTGGGATTACAGGTCACTGGCCGAAGACTTGCCTACTATATGCAAGGCCTTTGGCTTGATCCCCAAACACAGTAAAGGAAAAAAGAAAGAAACAAAAACAAAAACAAAAAAAAGAGTAAAAGAAATTCTAGGTCTGACTAGGTAAGTGAATTTAAGGTAACTACACCAAAGATAACTGACCTATTACTTCAGCATGAGGCTGGTGGTAAAATATCTTAAGATAGCTTTTAAAAATTTTGTTGGGTTTTTGAGACAGGGTCTTGCTGTGTAGTGCAGATGGGCTTGAACTCTCAGCAATCCTCCTGCCTCAGCCTCCCAAGTGTAGAATTACAGGCATGCACCACCACCATGCCTGGGCTCCTTAAAACATTTGAGGGGGTGGGAACAGGGTCTTATTATGCAGTTCAGGTTACCCTGGACTCACTATGTAGCCCATGCTAGACTCGAACTCATTAACCATTCTGCCTCAGCTTCACAAGTGCTGGGATTACAGGGACACACAACCATGCCTGGCTTCCTTAAGACATTTTAAATCAGAAAAAAGTATGAAAAACATGGCAGTTAATCAAATAAATTAAAACCAAACTTCCAACAGTAAAAATCTCTTTAGATTTGAAATCAAAGACACTCACTTTTCATTAATGCTGTGTATTACTAGGTTAAAAAAAAAAAGTAGCAAATGTAAAGATTTGTTTTATTTCTCCCGGGGGAAGGAAGAGGATAAATAAAACTGTTTTCCAAATTTTTCTCCACTGTGTATACACACCCACACACATACATATACATACATACACCCAAATTACCCCGCCAAAACAAAAAACCCAAGAATCAAAACCCCTTCACCCTCAAACTGCACCAGTACTTCATATTTTGACCAAAAGAATAGATCCTGGTAGGAAGTGCAAAATGCAAAATCAAATGACCGAAAAATGCTGAACAAACAGCATTATTAATATACAAAATATTATATTATTGAACTAATAACAGGTGATGTTCTCTGTGTTGATAAAACTTTGGAACCACATAGCTGATTTGTTAAATCTAGTCCATGCCAGCTTCCAAAAACCAGAAAAGATTTTAGTTAGCTTCATTTTTTGATGCTTCATCAAAATTTTCTACAAGATCTGGAAAAAAAAATAAAGAATAAAGCAAATGAGTCCCCAAAAAGAAAAAAAGGAAAAAAAAACCAAAAAACCAAAGTGAACAAAATACTGAACTTCAAATCTTAATTAAGACTAAACTACTGCAACCAGAATTAGCCTGAGAGCATATGGGACAGTTAGAAATGAACTGATGGCATTGTACTAATTATGATTCATTTATCTGTTTAAAACAAATAATCTGAAGGAAATTTTCATCTCTTTTTTTTTTTGTGTATGCCAACTAAGATGAAAGCGATTTTCTTATGTTAATTATAATTTTCATGGAAATGTTATATAATAATTATGGAAATTTATAATCACATTAATTTCAATATAATAAATAGGCAGCAGAGCTTTGAAAATTTCTGACTCTACACTGTAATGAGGAAACATTTATTCTTTTTCATTAGATACTATCCACATCATTGTGATTCAACTTAAATTCAGAGTTCACAACCAACAAAAATTACCTATTCAGTTAGTGAAATGAGGTAAATAGCACGTTAAAAATCTCAATACTAATGAAATGGAATTCGTCACTTACCTGGAACATCATCATCTTCTTCATCAATGTCTTCTGGTTTTGGTGCTTTGCTATCCAACACTATGAAAAGTTTATGATTAGTAATTAAGAATAAAGACCTTACAGAAACTTATCCATTCATAGTTTTTTGCTTAAGAAACATTAAAATTAATAAAACTTTAAATTAGATATATACTAAATATAGCTGATTTCAACGCACAGATAAAATTTATATGCAAAATGGAATAATTCAGATGAGTTTGAATAAAAATACATTATAGTAAGTCACAGTGGCCCTGTTTTCCAGAACAATTATTATTAAAGATTTTTTTCCATTTCTTTCAGAGTATCCAGCTATGTAGTACATTTATTACACTGAAATACAAGACCCTTTGACTGTAAGGGGCAGTAACACGTAAATGAAATCATGACTATGTTGGAAATCAAGAATTTAGGATTACCATATCTATAGTACAATCAAAACCACTGTATAACAATATTTTACATCCTATATTAGTTATAAGAAACAAACTCAAAATTTTATAAGCATTCAAGTGACATTATACAAAGGAAATATAATACTGAGGCAAATTCTCTCAGTTTAAGATGGAACCCCTTTTAAATTATTAGGTTTCTTTTATTAAGTGGACAGCAGAAGATGTACTAACAAACTGAAATACCTACCTTGCCGTGGGAACTGTTCTGCTAATTTTCTAAGACTTGTTAAGCTGTCAGCACCAAGCTGACTTAATATTCCAGGAAGCATTTCTGTGATTGGTTTGGCTTCTGCATGACCAGTGATTGCAAAGGTGTTAGCAGAGAGGGAAGCTTGGACTTTAGGATTGTTGAAATGAATTACCGTCCCATCATCTTTAATCATGTTCACCTGTATGATTACAGAAAAAATGTACTTCACATGCTATGCACAACCAAATAGTTTTTTAAAATAGCCACCTAGGTTGGGAGTGGTGGTATATGCCGGTAATCCCAGCACCTGGGAGGTTGAAGCAAAAGGATCACCATGAGTTTGAGGCCAGCCTGGGCTATACAATGAGTTCAAAAGCTAGCCTGAACTACACAGCAAGACCCTGTCTCAGGAAAAAACCCCCAAAACAAAAAACCAACCCATCAAAAAAAAGAGCCTTCTAAGGCCCAGCATGGTTGCCCACACCTATAATCCAAGCACTCATGAGGGTGAGGCAGGAGAACTGCTGTGAGTTCAAGGCCTGCCTGGGCCATACACGGAGTTCAATTCCAGTCAGAATTGCACAATGAGATGCTGTCTCAAAAACAAAAACAAGCATACAAACAAAAAGCCATATAGCCAACTATGATTTTTTATTAACTATGAAATTTCAAAGTAGTAATTAAGCACTGTATATAGGTGGGAAAAGATCTTAGCAATAAAATACAATGGTATGGGATGGTATGAATTAGTAGAATGGTCAAGAAATAGTCATCTTATTAAAGAATCTAGATTTCAAATTCAGACTTCTATGAGAAAGAAGTTCATGCCCACTTTAAAAAAAAAAGAATTATCTACCAGAACTAGTTTTTTAATGAAATTACTAATTATTTTATTCCATTGATATTCTCAAATGAAATCAGTGTAACTGCTACTTGAGGAGGTAGTATCTTCTTACTTAGCGGACCAAATATACAGGAAACAGTGATGGTAAAAATAACCACTGAAAATCCACAAAGAACACTCAGAAATTTAACCAACCAGGTATTTTACTATTTTGAACTTATTAAATTTACAAAAATTTCGATCTGCTCTTATCATGTCACTCCTAACAAAGCATTTTTTCAGTTCTTCTAATTCTTTCTTATTAGCGATGGCATCCTGCTGTGTTGGACTCAAGCAATCCTCCTGCCTCAGCCATCCAAGAAGCTGGGACTATGGGCACATGACATAGTTTCTGGCTAGTTCATCTAATTCTTAAGCATAGCTTCTCAGCAACCTTCAATAACCTCCAATAACTTTTGTAAATATCAAAGAAACTCTCCCATCCACCTGCCTACCTAAATATGCTATATCAGTAACTGGAAAACTTTTAAAATTATCCCACCATTGTTTTTAATAACTTTCACCAATATGAGCAGATTATTTCAGATGTCATTTATTCCACTGCCTATACTTGCTGAACATGTACTATTTAAACCGTTATTTTTTGCTGGGCAGGGTGGTGCATGCCTGTAATCACACCTACTTGAGAGGCTGAGGCAGGAGGATTCCAAATTTGAGGCCATGGTAGGCAGCTTAGCAAGATCTTGTCTCAAAACAAAATAAAAAGGGTTGCGAATGTAGCTCAGAGAGTGTTTGCCTAACATGCATTCAGGCTCTATGTTTGATCTCCAGTACTGAAAACAAAGCTTCTCTTTCATTCACAGACTTTTTCTCTAATTCTTTTGGCAGAGGAGGGTATAGCTGAATTTACATAAGTTATAATGTATAAATAATGTGATTTCACCATGATTCCACTGGTAAGTTGGTGGTAACATGCTTATAAAATAAAAAGGTTAGGAGAGTTAACTCTTGGCTACTTTAGAAGCATTTCATGATCCATCCAAAAACTGCCCTTGTCACAATCAAGCAGAGATGCTGAGTGTTCTCCATGGTCAGTGGGAAGAGGGCTTTTCTTCCTCAGAGGTGATCACCACCACTGACAGCACCAGAAAGGAAGGGGAAGAAAGGGGCTTCTAATTTCAGGCAAGACCTGGAACACAGAGAAAATAAAGACAGATCCCTGGAAAATGGTAACTAAACTCCACAAGTAATTTCCCAAATGTTTTTTTCCAAAAATCACTATTTTAATTATGTATCTTTTCCTCACTCAATACTGTACCTATGGTTCTTTTTCAATGTTATACACAGTAAGCATTCAATTTAGCTGTTCTAAATAAAGGGAATCATGATCATGACTTAATTTGTATTAACTTTCAAAAAAGATAAACCTATGTAATTTTAAAAATGACTACAGTGTCAGCAGAAAGGTCAAATGTTAAGATTGGCTAAAACTGTTGGAGGCTTGAGAAGGGCACATTAGTGATGTGATATGTGATGCTGCACTGAATTTATCCTAGAATCAAATAATCTTTGTATGGGAAACCAATAAATAAGAATATGATAGGACTACATTTTCTAAATCCAGCCCAAATCATGTGGTTTAATAAAGGATTGCATACTTTCAGGTGTAAGTTGTCTCAAATATTAATTTTAAACATTGTTAATTTATTCACATTAAAACCACAAGATTGAAACCTGTAGTACTATTCCAAAATTCAATTGAACTTTGAAGTTTTTCAGCTCAAAGTCTTTATGTTAAAATCTGACAAGAGCTTTTAGCAAAGTACAAACTGAGTACTTGAACTCAACCTGCATGTATACACTTACTGTTTAATTTCTTTCCTACAATATCACTCTCATGCTTATAACATAATTTGCTTACAAAAATTTAATTCCAGTCAGGCATGTCTGTAATCTGTTACTTGGGAGTCTATGGCAGAAAGAACTAAAAACCAGCTTGGGCAATTTAGCAAGACCCTGTTTTAAAAAATAAAACTGAGCCAAGTGTGGTGGCATATGCTGTAATCCCAGCACTTGGGAGGCTGAAGCAGGAGGGCCATTACAAGTTGAGACCAGCCTGGGCTATGAAGTGAGCTCAAGGCCAACCTGAACTGCATAGCAAGACTCTGTCTCAAAAATACAAAAAATAAATAAATAAAACTGAATGTCAGGTGTGGTTGCATGTCTATAATCTTAGCACTCAAAAAGCTGAGATACCAGGATTACCAGGATTACGAGTTCAAGGCAAACTAAGCTACTACATAGTGAGTTCATGGTCACCCTGAACACACAGTGAGAGCCTGTCCCCTCAAAACACAAAAATTTACTCATGCTGCCCATGGTAGTAACAGACCTATAATCTAAGCATTCCGAGAATCCAGTAAGGGAGGATTGCTAGACTGAGGCCAGCCTGGACAATTTAGCAACTATGCAAGATCTTGTCTCAAACAATAAAAAGGTTAGGTGTGATGGCACATGCCTATGATCCCAGCACTCATGGCAGGAGGATCATCATGAGTTCAAGGCCAGCTCTGGTTACACAGTGAGTTCAAAACCAGCTTGAACTACACAGTGAGCCTTTATTTCAAAAAAAGAAAAAACAAACAAACAAATAAAAATGGCTGTGGATGTACCTCAGTGTGAGAGCTATATCTTAATTCCCACTACTGAAATGAAAAAAGAATTCATGATTATTTTAAATGGTATGGCATAAAAGGTGCACCTTCATGAATAAGGTTCCATAAGGGACAGAGTTTATTTCAGAACACGGGGAATAAAATATAGTACTTTCAAGTTTAAAAGGCCAGAATATTTTATTTCTAACATTGTTTCCCAGGACAGACTCCTGGGCACAGTCTGTCAGAAACCATCAAACCATGAACTGTTTAGATAAGCAAGAACAGCTAGACATCTCTCCCACCCTTTTAGGCAAAAAAGAGATAATGACCCTTGTTAAATTCACCAAGCAAACTATATGCATTTCATATGGAGACTTCACTTTTTCCAGTGATTTTGCACTGTTTAAGTAGGTCACACAATGTATACATGTAGAATAGGAACATGGAACAAAGAACAAGTAAACAAAGGCTATCAAGTTAGCTACTATGCTAATGCTTAGGCCCCTTTTCAGTTAAAAAATAATCCTCTTTATGTGAAAATGTGTCCGTCCGTCCCCCCCTCCCCCCATCATTTAAAGGTAGCCAAAGGTAAAGGCTGCTATTTGTCATTCTGGGATCCCAATTCAAAAACAGGACATCTTTGCTCTTTTGCTTTTGCTCCAACAATCCAAAGTATCGTGTAGTTAACAGAAAGCCATTTTATCTTCTCAAGCCTAGTGCATTTATATGTGCTGCTTTCACTGAGTAGAAGAATCATTTCCTTCTTCTTTACCTGTAAATTTCCATTTAGCCAAGGCTCAGGTCAGATGTTTATTACTTTGTGAAAACAAAGTGGTTTATGCCTTTCCTGCACTTCATGGGTATTGCTGTTATAAAGAACTGTCTTGTATAACTGTGTTTCCAAATCTTTGGCCCTACCAGGTGAACTCCTAGAGATCAGAGACCAAATCATACTAAAAGTAGGAATCTCTCAAGTGGCTAGCACAACATAATTACTGTTATTTGTTGAATCAATACCTCCCATACAGTTTAACAGAATGCTGTCAGACTTCAACTCCCCAAATAGTATCAGCAATACCCTAGAATCTCTGGACTGTAACTTTGGTGTGACTTTTCATGTAGCTACGAATTAGTCCAATTTATCCTACAGAACTCAGAGTCATTTTAAGTCATCCCAAGTGGTCTTAGGATGCTGCTACCAATACCTTAACAACCCCTGCCTTCACTGGCCTGAGCATAGCACATGCATTAGTCACAGCAGCTTTCTATCAATCTATCTGGTAAATACGATGGTCATTTTCTTTCTACACAGCAATAAATATGTCTAGAGATCACAATATTGTACTTGACAATAACTATTAATAGCTGCTGCCTCCGTCTGAATTCTTTTGTCATTTCTTTTTCCAGTAGCCAAGTCCCCACCTAGCCAGTTAGCTATAGTTCTGAGAGGCAAGAGATATTTTAAAATCAAGTTTTACTGGCACTCTATTTTGTTCTTAAATATTTATCATGAAATTCATATCCCCAACGAATAATATTGGGCCTTGGGCATTACTAGGCAAGTGCTCTACTACTAAGCTACATCCCCAGCTTTCCTGTATCTTAATTGAGTGGAAGAATGGATTTTTAAAGAATAAGGCACATAAGGGCTGGGGATTTAGCTCAGCAGCATAAGCGCCTGCCTTGCAAGGATGTGGT